ATCTTGAGCTAACCCTGGAAGTCGCCAATTCAGCTGGGCTGGGTGGGCTTCTCCTTGGTGCTGAGATCATATGGTCAGACTTTTCCCACAGATGCTAGCGATTTGAACTCAGGTCCTCATACTTGTGTGGCAAGCACTTTACTGCTTGAGCTACTCCCAGACCAGTCATTTTTTTTTTAAAATGTGTTTTGCATTCTTAAGACTTAATTTAGGAATCATTTGCAAAGGCTTAAAATGCAAATGAGAAAATTTTTATTTAAAAATTATGCAACTTGTCAGAAATATCTTACATTTCTTATAGCTAGCCCAACACGTCTAATTATTGTCATAAGTAAATCATAAACTTAAAAGCTAGACAAATAGCAAAGCCAAGTGAAAAGCGAATTAAAGCAAAGCAAATACAAATATATCACTGGAGGCCACAAAATTACCTGCAGTAAGACAGAATCACATGAATGTGCTTCATTTTCTTTTGCTATTTCACAAATGCTAACAACCCTGAGAGGAATGTGAACAATCATGGGGCTAGTCTAGCATTGACGGAATAATACTCACAGGCTATAAAAACGCTAAGTACATGCCTGAACTTCAGGGAGCACATTTTGTAAAGACCCGCCTCTTTTGAAGATCATTAGAGCTAGAACCTTCATTGGCAGGATATATCTGATGTGAATTTCCTATATTCATGAAAATGCACTTGAACAATCATCTCATCTATCCCATAACAGGTGACCCTGATAGTGAAAACAAATTCATTGGTCACTTCAGTGTATTGAGATTTGGTACAGATTTGAATATTTCAATTCTTCAGTGTGTGTGTTAGAAATAAATTCTGAGCTACCATTTTCAGAAGCAGACCCATCCCTCATAGTGTCTACCCTACTAGATGAAATTTAGTCTGCCCAAATTGACAAAAATTTTTTTCATCTATAGCACCTGTCTTAAATTAACTCTTTAATTTTTTTTAACATTGATTGATTGGTACTTGGGATTGAATCTAGGACCTGTGCATGCTATGCAAGCAGCCTACCCATTGGGGTGTATCTCCAACCCTAACCTGCATCTTAAAGGAAAAACAGATTTTAATGCACAGAGGAAAGTATTGATCAATAGAATTTGTGGCAAACAATTCCTTATACGCCCCATTCCTTTAGGTTCCTTTATGCCCCATTATGACATTGATCCAGCCCTCACTTACCAAACAAGGTGGCTCTGCAAACCTTTCCTGATCTGCATTTTGGTGAGAGTGATGCTGTAAGAAATTCTGGAGACTGTGGGAATAGCAAAGACAGCAGCCTTGTAAACAATGTCTGTGACTTTGTGTGCTCATGGGGAGACAGACTCTTCATTCTGGAAAGAAGCCCAATTATAAGACAGCATCCATAGTGAACCTCAAGTTATTTTTAAGGCTATTACTGACTTTCCCAAGGAACATCAAGTAGTACTTAATAAGTCAATTGTTTCCTAAGGGAAAGGAGAATGTCGCTGTCTCCACAGTGGCTCACAGACAGCCTATGTGAACAATTTGAGTATCTCTCCTGCCCATTTGTATTTTTTTATTTATATGTTTACTGCAAATCATAGCCGTGTTTTGTGAATTTTTTTTATTTCACTATTTTATGGTCATGTTGTAACAAATATTTTCCCCTATGGAACTGTAGATTTTTATAACTCCGACTTCAGAGTAAACAACACACTGTCTTGCAGGCAACATATCTGACTCTCGTCTCTACCTTTGCCCTTCTCCAACTGTCTCAGGCTGTTTACATAAATCAAGTTTAAAAATAAAGAATGGTGACTTTCTGGAAAAGAAAACCTTCGAGACCAGCCAATAACTATTTATACAATTGCCAAGTATAAGGTGAGAATTTCTGGGATGCATTAAGGCACCTCATCAGCTATATCTAGTGCCCATAGAGCCACACAGGATGATCATAGCTAATTGGAGAGAAAAGTTGTATAACACAGTGGTTGGTTCAATTATTTCTCTTCAAGTTCAAATTATGAGTTTTCAAAGTCTGAGCTCCCAGGATAAGAATGTGACCAAATTTGAGGATTCAGAGTTGAGGTCTTCTCTTTGAGTTTCTTTCTTAGAGACCTGACTGGTCTTGAACTCACTGTGTATCCTGAGCTATCCTCAAATGCATGATCCCCTTCCTTCAGTCTTGAAAGTGCTAGGATTACAGGCATGTGCCACCACACCCGGCTGGTCTTTAGAAGAGTAATGAAGGCTGAATTACATGACTGGTATGCAATACGTAGGCTATTGTGAGGACACAGGAAGAAGGCAACACCTACAAGCTTCAAAGTAAGTATTACCATACCTTGGCCTCACTCTTACGCCTCTAGCATGGCGCGTCAGTATTTTCTTATATGTAAGCCACTCAGTTTGTAAGGCTCTGGCAGCTGAGTAATTTCTCACCATCCTGGCTACCTAGGAGAGAGTGGGAGGCCCGTAGCTCTACCCCACAACAGTAGTGATGGGGACTACACATCTTTCTGCTTTAACATCCACAGAGTAAAGATTAACTAATCACATCTACCACCATAAGGGGCTCCACAAAGACTTGGTTAAGGTTTCTAAGATACGTGAAATCTATATAAGCTGTAGTTAATTGACTACATTATGCCCATAGTTAGGAAGCAGAGAGAGATTAATAATGGTGTTTAGCTCATTTTTTCTCCTTTATTTTTATTTATTGTCGTGTGTGTGTGTGTGTGTATACATACACATATACATGTATACTTATTTATTTTGCGTTCTGGTCACTGCTCTCACTTTCCCTCTTTTATGCGGTCTAGTCTTTTATCTCATGGCTTGGGACTACCCATGTTTTATATGTGTCTCCCTGCCTTAAATAAGCAACTCTACAGGCTCTCTTAAAGTTATATTCACAGATTTGTGTTCTATCTATGTCATTCTAAAACTTGTCAAACTGACAATTGACACATTATAACATCAAGGTTTGTGTTAGTTAGGTTTTTGTTATTTCTTAATATTAAGATGTGATAGTTAATTATAATGATCGACTTGTCAGGCTCTAGAATCCCCCAGGAGACATACTTCTGGGAATGTATTGTGTTTTTAGATTGTATTAACTGAGATGGGAAAACCCAACCTAAAAGTGGGCAGCACCATCCCATGGGATCCTTGACAGAATAAAAAGGAGATAGCAAGCTAAGTCCCAGTATTCTTGAAATGAAACGTGACCAGCTCCCTCACACTCCTGCTGCCATGAATTCTCCAGCAAGATTGGTTATACCCTTGAATGGTGGTGAACCAGAATAAACCATTCCTTTCCTAAGTTTCTTATTTCAGGTATTTAGTCATAGTGGTGAGAATAGAGGGTAAGACATAAGTATAATGCCAAGAACATTGCCTTAAGTAGACCAAAGTTCAACCCTGAATCCTGCTACTAACTGGCTATAGCTCTGCAGAACACTCTGAGACACTGTGAGTAGAGTGACGATAATTTGCTCTTGTGGGTGCTGGGAGAGTTAAGGGTTCACTGAACATAAAGAGCAGGGGATTGCAGCCCAGGAAATACACTGTCTCCACCCAGGCCTCCATATTGTGTCAGCCCTGGCAACAGGCCTCAGGGATGAAGACAAGGCAGCAAGGATTATCAGTTCTTTGCATTCTAACAACAGACCTTAGTTCCTGTCATCATCAGTTTTATTACTTCCAAGTGTTTATGCCGCAGTGTCTCTATTGGCCACCATCTTTCTTCCAAGTGACTGTCTCAGCTCCTTAGGTGAGTCTGTCTCATTATTGAGATCCCCTGTGAAGGGAATGATATGTATCTGTAGTTATGGTGTCTAGTTGACGATGGGAGGTTCTCTTGACTTCTTTCCAGTGGTGGTGGTGGTCAAGGGGCTCATTCTGTTGCTGATGCTGATACAGAGGATGGTATCTCTGACTTAGACTATTCCTCATACTCAGGATCCAGAAGAGATGCTCAAAGATACAGCAGAAGACTGAAAGCCACCCCATTTTCCTCAGAAGAAGTGGTCCTTGGAGCAGACATCTAGACCATACTTTGTCTGAGAGGCTGTCTTGAGGCCAAAGGCTCTTCACTAGCCTGGCCCAGGTGATTCACAGAAAGAAACTGAGTATTCATAGGTCAAGCAAGGGCTTCCTCCTTGGCCCCATAGTTCCATGGGAGTTCAGCTTCCTACCAGCTCTGTGATTAGGACAGGAATCAATGCCGGAGGCCCTGATTACATTATCTCTATGATAGAGTAATAGCAGTTCTGGTCGTGGGCCAGATCACAACCTGCAGAATCAGAACATCAGTAGTAGTCTGTTCCTCTACATGTTAGAAAGTGACTCTTTGTGGAGATAATGCTATTCACAAATTGAAATAAGGCTGTGGGAAGGATAGAGAGCAGGGCTAAACAACTTTCCTTAGAGAAGAGGGAAGCACACATCCAGGCATCGGAGGCCAGACATCTCCTTGTCAGAGAGAGGCCTGTAAGAAATGTACTTTACTAGCACAGGGAAGCCTGCTAACACCTCCATCTTGGCGTTGTCACCTAGATCTATGAAGCTGCTCATCCCTTGTACTTACAGTATTTCATCCATGATGCTTTCGTCTGGCAGCCCAGCAAGCAAACGCATAGCCTTCTAAGTTTATTAGATTACGACAGAACAATATTAGGGAGGTCATTGAGGACAGTTGGAAACCCTCACCACATTGTCAGTGATATCCTGACTCTGGTCTAGAGCAACCTGTGTCCTAGGCTGTAGTTCACCCAGAGCCCTGGATGTACACCCGTATGGTCAAGTGTAGGAATGTGTATACATGTCTGTGTGCTGCATGTCCTCTTTCCATTTCACAGTGTTGAGGTAGATTAGTGAGTGCCCACGTCTCCTCGTCATAGTTTTGTCTAACTGAGGAGTTGGGGCCTCCACTTCCGTACTTGTGCAGGACTGTTTCAGCTCTGGCAACGTGTATAGGACTGTGTGATGATTAGACAGTGTTTTCCTGTTCTTGCAGGTCTCCATTTTCTTCTCGTGGCAGAAGCAGAGGGTACTGAAGGTTGCCCAGAAGCCCAGCATTTCAGGACTGGAGCTCTCCTCAGGTAGGAGAAAGCTTTTTCTAGACCTCTGCAGAGCTGAGGGCTGCCGAGGCAGAGCCCAGGTCATGAGGAGGCCTCTGAAGACCCATGAGGTGCTCATGTGGTTCAGTTACGTCTGTCTGTGGGTAGCCCATATTGCTGAGCAGTGTATCTCTTACAGGAAAAGTTTTTAAATGTAGTTTAATCATCCACTGCCATACAATTAGCATTTTCAAGTGGATCTGAGTTAGCAGAAGCAGATGGTTTATCTCCTCTAGTGTTCCGATTTGGACATTCTATCATCTCTACGTCTCGTTCTGTCCTTACAGCGCTCAAGGAATCACTCCGATGCCGGGCACTGTTTTGACTTATTTAATGAGGACATACTTTCCTGTAGTAAACATGATTTCCAAATACTTTAACTCGAAAGCTTCTGCTTCCTCTCTGGTGTAACCAGTCATACCACATTCTCTGAGCAGTTAGTGGAAAAAGAGAGTGAAACCCTCACACACAGCATCTTGCAAGCATGTCTTTACAACGCTCCAGTTGCTGTCTTCACTCCTGTGAGTTTTCAGAGTCACCCCCTTCAAACAATGGCAGAAACATGTATAGTTCCCTGAGCCGTGTCACATGATCACACAGTCTGCAACATGGAGAAAGACACCACAGGCATAGATTGACCTGGTCAAGACAGATGTTTTGGATACTGAAGAGCACAGTTGGAGTCCACCTCTGGATGAAGGACAAAACTCTGTCTCTATGTTCAGATACTGAGGATGACCTGTGACAGGGACTCACAGAACACTCAATTCTCCTGTTACCTTTCTCAGTAGCTTTTATGGGACCACTGAGGCAGAAGTCTTAGCAATCTGTGTATAGAAACAGACTCCACAAAAGTTTAATCTAATCTGTAGGGTAGCAATGAACCCCACTATTTAGACAGCCTGACCAGCAAACTACAGCCTTCTGCCAGAGCCCTGGCTCCTGTGCGATACAGATTGCTTGTGTCCCCTAGGGATATGATATCCTTGGGGACACCCACCTTCTATGCTCCTCCAGTGAAGTGAGCATTTCCCTTCTGTCAAGGAGGGAACATTGTTTTCATACATGCTGCTGTCTACTCTCTAGTGCTTCCAAATAAGCATTCATAACTTACCCAACACACAACACAAACAGCATACACATAAACATATACACAGAGAGAACACACATACACACAGAGCACACACCCACACAAAGGTGCATTCACAGAGAGTACACACACATATATAATATCCATACCCCACAAAACATATTACACACATGTACATTCACACACAGCATATACTGTATATACATACATAACATCTGTACCAAAGCCAACACACTACACACCCATGTGCATTCACTCATACACTATATACACATAGATATATGACAGCTGTACCTCACATAGCTTTCCACCCCCTCCCACACACACATGCATTCACACACAGCACATATACAGATATGTGCATGCACACACAGCACACATTGCATGTGAACATATATGGCATCCGTACCCCTTTCATATACATAAGAACACACACACACATATACACATAAAACCACATAGAAGCATATGTATGCCCTGCACACATATCCTTCCAAACTTGGGGCCACCATATTAGACTCTGCCTCCATGGTAGCCTCAAACCCAAACAAACCATGAGAGATTTAGCTGCCTTGTGTAGAACTCAAGTCTAAGCTAACCCTTGCTACTTTCCTGAAGGTGAGGGGCTGTGTGAAGAGGCATCAGAAAAAGTCTGGCAGAGAAAGAGCTGCAGAGCTCATAGATTAATCTGTCTATATTTGACTTTCCTATAATTGCTTTGCAGAGGACTCTTTCCTTTATTTTAGGAGTTGATTCCCTAGAATAGTGTTTATCTTAATACCCTAGACATTTTAACACCCTTTGCTCTGCATCTAGCACAGATGTCCTGCTCTCACTTCCCTCACCCTCTTCCAGTTTTACCTTCCAGTTCACACAGCACCAGCATCATCATGAGTATGGACTCTGTGATATCTAAAAATTCACTGCACCCTCCAAACCTCAGCCTCATGCCTTTATGGTTTGTGAACAATAAACTACGGGCAACTCTTGGCCTTTTCATGTGCCGACTTTTTCATTTAATTGCACATCCTTACTATTCTCAACTTGTACCCATACCAAGCATCTCAAATGCCTTTTTTACTTCTTAAACTATGCGCCTACCTGATGTCAAAATTGTATACACATGTTTCTTTCCTTCTTCTCACTGCCTTTCCATGGGAAGGGAGTGTTTTCCATCTCAGCAGTGGACACTTGGACCACTTCTCTATCCTCTCTTATGGGTGACATCATTCCCTCTTCCCCCTTTAAATACATGGCTGCACTGTTAGTCCTGGATGTCCGTTTCTAGCCCAATCACTTTCTCTCCTGAGCCACATGCTCAAATGTTCATGTACCCCTTAACACATCTCTCTAAGATCTAAGGAGCATCTGGAGATAGTGTGCTTGGCCCCTACTCATCCTTCCCACCAGCCTAGGCTTCTTATTGTTAGAACCACCTCAGTACCACCTCAGGCAATGGCAGTTTCTTTCTTCCATTTTACAGATTGTGCTAACAGGTTTTTCTCCTCTCTTTCTTTTATATCCTGTTTTTAAAATATGTCAGTAAGTTGTTGAATCCCCATATACTCCCCCAATCTAATCATGTGTGACTGTTATCTTGTCACTCATCCTGGATGGGTTGCCAACATCTTAGGCTTTCTGTTTAAATCCCTGGTTCCTAGCATCAGTTCTTACCAGCTGCTAAAGTAATTCTTTCTAATACAACAAGGCAGTTTGTACTTAGGTCTTTTTGACAGCTTCCTACTGTCTTTGGGGTAAAAGCTCCATTACTCTCAATTGTCCACTACCCTACAGGATTGGCCTCTTCCTTTATTGGTCTTAATCCTGATCTTCTCCCTTCAGTTCAATCAGCTTATCTCCACCAACCTCAATCTACTAAGCTTGTGTCCACCACAGGACTTAAGATAGTCACTCAGTAGACTTGTCTTCTTGAGTGGCCTTATTGGATCCCCTAGACCACCAATACAATGCTATGTTTTTCTTCTACCACCGGGTTTTACTTGAACTTTCTATCACTTGGCGTTAGAAAAGACAACAGGGTATGGGAGAAGACCAGAAAAGTGACTCCTGGACACTGGGGACCAGTGTGGAGTGGCCTCACAATTTTATTGATGTCTTTATTTAGCTTAATGAGTTGCAACGTGTGTCCTCTGCTCTCTATTCAGGTCTTAATACAAATCACGTTAATTACATTTCCTTGTATTTTCAGTGTCTGAAAAGAATCTAGAAGGCAGGGTCTTGCTGTTGCTTGGTGTTTAATTCCTAGAATCTAAAACCATGTCTGGCTTCTAGCAGACAGTCATTAAATCTTTCTGGAATAAATGAGTGAGCGAGCAAGTAAATTAATGGAGGTAGATGATGACTTAAGAATAAAAACAGGCTCATATTTCCAAGTTCAAAATATATAACATAAATCTTTTAAAATTGTTCAAACTTAGACATTTCATTAATATAGAAAAACAGTAGGAAGGATTAGCACCAGATACATGCCTCTATCTTTTCTTTTCCTTCTACCAACTAGAAAAATCTTATGCCACAGAGGCTTGGGAGTGTAGTGTGTGCTAAGATAGAGGGGGGAGAGCATCTGGAAGTACAGCAGAAGGTGACGGAGGGGGAGAGCATGTAGAAGTACAGTGGAAGGTGACAGAGGGGGAGAGCATGTAGAAGTACAGTGGAAGGTGATGGGGTAGGAGGGATTCTTGGATCTCTGGGACAAGTTTGCAAATCCCGTGTTTCTGCTTGTGAGCTTTCCTCAGTTTGAATAAACTGAAGTGTAGCGGCTGAAGTTTCAGATGAGAGAAATCCCTTTCTGACTTCCCCAGGGGCTGCTGAGGTGGTGTTAAGATTTGGGTTGGGTCCTGCAGTGCAAGAAGATTAAATAAGGAAAGCTGTGAAGCTGTGAGTCACCCTGGTTTAGCTGAACATCACTTCTGCCTCTTATTAAAGTCTGCAATAAAGCACACACACACACACACACACACACACACACACACTCATCCAGACACGCTCTATGGAGATGAAGTTGCAGCCCAGTGTGTGACGGAGTTAAGACCCCTAAACATGGCAAATGAGAGGGTAGAAAGAAGCAAGAGGCCTAAGGAAGGTCAGAGCTTAGTGGTCACTGATGGTAGCCCAGTGGAAGAAGAGCCTGTAGTGACTCATGGGGAACAGGAGTAATGAATGACAAGCCAGGAAGAATCATATTTCATGGTATAGAAAATGGAGTTGTTCAAGTATGGGAGTAGATGTTATGGTTTGGAGATGAAATGTTCTCTAAAAAGCATATGTACTACAGTCTTGGTCAGCAATTGGCAAAATCAATAATGGAGAGGTGATTGGATTATGGATGAGTTGGTCCCTTCATCTATTTATAATTTAATGGTGTGGCAAGGTGGCACTGTAGAAAAAAAGTCCTGGCAGGAGGGAGGAGGTTAGTGGACCTTGCCTTTGAAGTGTGTTCAGATTCCTCATCTTATCTCTGTTTCTTGGCTGCTCTGAAGCAAGAAGCCCTGATACACCAAACTCTTTCCACCAGGATGCTTTCCCTTTGCTTGCCACAGCCTAAAACCCTAGAATGGGCTGACCAGAGACTAAAATCTCTAAAATCATGAGCCAAAATGCATATTGACTTTTTGAAGTTGTTTATCTCAGGGTTTTTTTGTTTTTTTTTTTTCCACAGTGACCAAAAGCTTAATAGAATGGATGACAGACAGGACTTCAATTCTGGAAGGCCACAGAGATTTCTATGAAAGTATTGTGTTTAAGACTTAAGAAGTGTTTAGGAGTTCTGTGTGTCCCAGTTAGGGTGGTGTGATGAAACACAATAACCAAAAGCAAGGTAGGGAGGAAAGGGTTTATGTAGCTTATACTTCTATCACGTGACATGCTATCA